CTAATAAAATGATTTAAAAAAAATATTATCTTTAAAGAAAAAAATTGTGTACAAAAAGAAGGCTTGGAAACTGATTGTGGTAGCAATTGTACATTCTACTCGATGTGATTGAAATTGGGAATGATATGTTATTTGTATTAAATCCCAACTAATAATAAAATTAAAAATATATATATCCTCTCTGTGATCTGATAGGCAGGCTGTCTATTTGAATCCTGAGTCTGAAAAAAATAAGCTAATTTCCCTTAGATGCAGATTCATCTAATCTTTCACTTGCCTAGCAACTGGCTTGTCCTCTTGGTATACCAGATAAGTATTGCTACAGTCCAGTCCTGAGAGTTCCCGCTGGTCACTGAGATTTAGTCCTCAGCTGATTTGAATCTCTCCTATCTGCCTGGAATGCAGTGAGTGGGTTGTGATTCTTTCAACTATTGGGTGTAGGGAAACTGTGCATTTTCCTGCCTGAGGTAATTCCTTCCCAATGTGGACCTAGCCACCACTCACCACAAGTATTGTTGGGAGAAGGACTAGTGTCGTTCTTCTTTTTGGTTAGTGCCAGGACAGGTGTGGATGCTTTAAGTCAGCTCACCTTTCCTCCTCTCATCTGATGAGGCCCAGAGTGTTAGGGAGAGGGATAGCTCTGCAGGTATCCTGTTGGGACATTGGGGCAGCACAGAATCCTGGCTTTTGGGGGTCCTCTTCGTCATGGTTCCCCCTATGAAATATCAAGCTGTAATTGCTGTAGGTTTCTATTCTTCCAGGGAAGTTCAGAACTCAGGTTCTTGAGTCTTCTTTTTTTAAAATGTTTTGTTTAACCAGGGTTTTACAGAGTCTCCTGCTATGCAGCCATGTTCCCCCACCACCACCCCCATCAGATCTGTTTGTTCTTTTGGGATAGTGAATATTCTGCACTCATGCAAATTCAAAGGTATTGGCTCTTCTTCTGTCATCCTTATTCAATGCTCAGCTTACATGCCCATAAGGTGAATGGAAAGTACCATGGCTTGAATCATGCAGACTTTTGCCTTCAAAGTGATATCTTTAATCTTTTAACACTTTAAGGAGGTCCTTTGCAGATGTGCCCAATGCACAACATTTTAATTGCAGATGTGCCCAATGCACAATATTGTTAATCATAACATTGCTTATTGATCCATTTGTGTGTATTTTTGTTATCTTTATGTTGAAGTGTATCTCATCTGAACCGAATGCTGTAGTCTGAATTTCATCAGAAAATGCTTCAAGTCCTCTTTTTTCCCCACCAAGAATGTCTGTATACTGCAGGCTGTTAATGAATCTTGCTCCATTCCTGATGCCACATTCCTCTTCATCTAGTCCATCTTCTTGGATTACTTGCACAGCATGCATATTGAGTAAGTATGGTCAAATCATAAACTCTGATACACAGCTTTCCTGCTTTTAAACCACACTGTATTCCTTTATTCTACTTGAAGAACTGCCATCTGGTCTATGTCTAGATTCAACATGAGAGCATTACTCATTCTGGAAATCTTAACATTAGCCATAATTTCTTAAGATCCAGAGTTCAGCATAGAAAAATATGGTCCCTGCATCATTAATTGCAGATTCTATAAAACACACGCAAATATTGTGATAGCTAATTTTTGAATACTAAATTCACTCAATTCACCTCCACTGACATCTTCCAGCTTCAGGGACCCCCAGTGCTGGCAGCCATGTGAATTGGGAAGGCTCTCCAGCTTATTATGTGACCCACAGAATTGAACCAGGCTGGGCTGGGGGATCGCTCTCTTGATATAAATTCCCTGTACATATATAGATGTCATAGTTTTTTGTTGTGTTTATGTATACATATACATAATATACATAAAACACACACACATACACATGAATATGTACTATATATATAGTCTAACACATTTGATACTGAGAGTAGAGTTCTAGAGAAACAGATCAGAAAGATGGAGGAAAGCAGTGTATCTGACCTCTTGCCTTACAGCAACTGGGTGGACTTGAGCAGGGGGCTGCAGTTACTGCTTTACGGCTGTTTGGGCCACTACCTTGATACAAATGTCTTCCTTGATACATTTTTTTTTGTCTTATACATGTTAGTATTTTTGTTTCTCTAGAAAGCCCAGCCAAACACATCATCTTTCTGGTATTCTCTGCTTTCAGACCCATAATGACATTATCAATGATAACCTTCGTTCCTTTTCTTCTGACTCTGGTTTGGATTCCTGGCAATTCCCAATTGCAATGTTGCTGCAACCATGTTTTTAATTCTTTGGTAAGATTTTACCAAACAGTATGATATTAATGCTATGATTCAATAATTTCCAAATTCTGTTCAGTTATCTTTCTTTGGAAAGGGCACAAATATGAATCTCTTTCCATTGATTTGGCCAGATTTTTTGGCATAGACAAGTGAACGCCCCAAGTGCTGCAAGAGCCTGTTGAAACATTTCAAATTATATACTTTCAATTCCTGAAGTGCTTTGTTTTTCATTAACACCTTCAGTGCAGCTTGGATTTCTTTCTCCATTATCTTTGGTTCTTAATCATAGGCTATTTCTTTAAATGGCTGAATGTTGGTAAGGGTTTTTTTTTTAAATACACATTCTTTGGAGGATTCCTGCATCATTCAATATTTTGCTCATACAACCGTTTAATATTTCAACTGGGGGCTTAAATGTTTCATTATTAAACTTGAAAAAAGCTAAGCATGTTCTTTGCTTTGGTTTTCTAATTCCAGGTCTGTGTACATTTTAACGTGTTAACTTTACACTGTCTTCTCATGTTGCTCTTTGAAATATCCTGTTCAGCTCTCGTCAGTGATCGTTTCTTCTGGATGCTTTAGCTTCCTTATGTTCAAGAGCAGGTTTCAGACTCTTGTGACATCTACTTTGGTCCTTTCTTTTTTTTCCTGACTTTTTTTGCTTTCTTCACGTATGCTGCTCTTGATGTCATATCCCACACCTCCTCTGGTCTTCAGTCTTAGTGGTCAATGCTCAAATTTATTCTTGAAATGATCTCTACAGTCAAGTAGGATATATTCAACATCACATTTTGGCCCCGATGGACTTCTGTAAAATTTTTTCTGCTTCAACTTGAAATTGCAAGTGAACTAATTACGGTTTGCTCCACAGTCAGGCCCTGGAGCTGTTCTGATGATATTGAGCCTTCCATCTATTGATTTGATTCTTCCGTATTCCAACCAGTGAGGTTCATATGTAAATTAGAATGAAAACATAATGGAATTTCCCCACAAACTTTCTGAAGCCCTCTTGTAGTTGCTATTCATGTTGTTGACAGAGGTATATGCAATGGCTACACTGTTGGTTTTATAAAATTCCGTCATGCTACCTCTGGTGTCGTTCCTATAAATAGCCAAGGTTATGTTTCCCACCACCAGGTTTTCTTTGCTTCCAACTTTCACCTTACAGTCGCTGTATATTGGTTAATTGCAAGCCACACAGGAGTGGTACCAAATTTTGTGTAGATTTACAGAAAAACTGTACACGTTGTACAGTGCTCCCATAAGCCCTTCAATCAGCTCTCCCCATTATTAAATACCTTACAATAATCAAAACCAGAAAATCATACACTAGGGTCTTACCCTAGGGTTCCCCGTTTCCTTGCATCATACACTTTTCTCTGAATTAGGTCCCTGCGTTGAAGTCAACGTCAGGTTTCTTTAGTCCTCACACAGCTGACGTTGGCTTTCAGTCTTTCCGTTTGTCTGTTATCACCTCAACACTTTTGAAAGGGTCTGATAAATAAATGTTAGAGTGCCCCCCAGTTGGGCTTTGCTTTCTCCTATCTTGAATGTGGCAATGGATGTTTTACATGGAGAGCACAGGAGCGACACTGTTCTTCTCAGCACATCACATCCAAGCACACCAGAGGCAAGTCTTATCTCACTAACTTTTATCCCTCCATATGGTGAACTGGGTCAGGTTTCTCCATTGTTACTATTTCCCCGCTAAGTAATGAGGATGTAAATATTACTTTTCCATCACATTTCTCGCTATGATTTTAGTTGCCAGTGGTATTTGCCTCTACTAACTGGCTAATCTACCTTTAGCTTTCCCCTGAGGAAGAAAGGCCATCTTACTAGGGTTCTGGGAGCTCCTTCACATAAATGGCTGTGAAGAGGAAGATCTCCTGGCACAAGAGGTAGATTGTGTTGAACACAGAGACATACTGCCCAGACCTATTCAAGGATGATTTGGCTTCCCAGGTGCTGAGAGTATGTCAGCCACCAGATGTCAATCTCTCTAAGGTTTACCTCGGCTGCCCAGAGCCTCTTTATCCATGGGCACATGCCCTTCCTGGGCAGCTTATATCCAATTTCTGGTGGACAAAAAAACCCCCTAGCTATTTCTTCACTGTGGGATAACTATGGCCTATGCGTATACTCCAGAGTTCCCCTCAGGGTTATGAGAGCTGTCAGACCCATGTTACAGTTGCATTTCTTCCTCTATCTAAACTGACATCTATTTCTCTCTCTTCAGGAGGTGCTAGTTATTTAATAAATTTCCGAGACACCAAACTTATGGAAAAATTGTAGTGTTTGCTTTCCAACCCATGACACGACCACCTGTTGAATTTCAGAGAACCAGGAATGAAATATGAGTAATTGATTGATTAAAGCTACAGCACAAGCACAACTATTATTATAGATATATTCAACAGTTTAAAGTGCAGCTTTTAGGTTACCTTTCCATTGCAAACTGTTTCGAGTTCTAAACTGTGTATATAATAATATCAAACATCACTGTTAGTTATACAAAGATATGCTCCTCACTGAATGAGGTTCTCTTCCAGAAAATAATGCAAAATGTCAATAAACAGCCTATGAATCAAAATACAAAATGTTTCTACATTTGAATCAAGAATATAAGTAAATAAACAAAGACAAATTTCAAGTGCATGGGAAGGTCTCACAAGATGACACTACATATTTGTATTTCTTCAGGAAGGTTTCCAGAATGAGTTTTTTTTAAAAAGGTACTCACAGATGCTCCTCCCATAATCTTGGGAAACATAACAGTAGAACAGCCATCTGGACTCTGTCCGAAGGTGGTATAGGGCGTTTGAAACCAGGCTTTTTCATTAGCCCAGACCACATCACAAAGTGGCAATATAGATGCTCCTAGTCCAATAGCTGGGCCATTTACTGCTACAATAATAGGCTTCTTAAATTGAATAAAAGTATTCACGAAGTTTCTAAAATAAAGCATAAATGAGGAATTACTCACAACATTGCATATTTGAGTAGCAGAAAACTATCCCATCTTTTAATTCAGTTTAATAAGATGCAAACTCTGGAAACCATTGAGCTAAGATCTTCTGCTAGGAAATGTAAACCATGAATTTTTGTGTGTGCATGTTATAAAGGCTTAAGTACTACCTGGGCACCATGTACCATGTAGGCTGTGGCTCAACTATCTGTGTGAATTGTGAACATTATGGTTAAATTACAGCCAAGGTTGGCTTTCATCTTTGCATGTTGGCTTTTGGACTTAAACACCAATCCCAATAAACATACTGGGTTGCCTCTGAACAATCAAGAAGCTTTCCCAGAGAAATGTAACACAGTGCATCCTGGGAACAGATCAGGGTCAGAAACTGCGGGTTGGGCTTGTTATGTGATGTTGGACATCTCACTGATATGATTCTTGTCATGTTTTACTACAATGAATAGGAGGGCAAAGCATAGAGCAAAATATATTCCAGCTCAGAATTAGAGATGAAATAGTTTGCTTCTCATATACTTGGGATTCTGAACTTAACCTGCTTTCAGCACTGAACTTAAGTCTAGACGTGCTCTATATTAAACAGTTTGAAAGTAGACCAATCTGCTCCAATCTTCTCTTAAAGTCATGCTCTGACATCTTAGTTAAGTCCCCAAGACCCCATTATGACAGGGTGGTATTTTGCCTTCATGTTTGTTCTGGAAAGGGGCATATTAGAGCGGTGTGGAGGTAAGGTGTTTGTGTGTGATCAACAGAGAGGTGACAGGAGAGAGAGAGGAGTAGGAAACTGAGCTCCAGCCACATTCTCAAAGGCTCCCTACAGACCCTTGAAGACTTAGCTCCCTAGCTCTGCTACCCTGACATTTTAGGATCTTTTCACTGAAGGAGAATTAACTCATTTAAATGAATGAGTTACACAAAGACTTTCTAAATGGGAAAGCCCCGAGGCATTGTTAGAAAGATCACACTGGGTTTTAATGACACAAAGTGGGTTTTAATGACACAAAGCCAACCAGGCAGGCTTTTAAAAAGACTCCTGAAATAAGTTCAGACAGGGTACATTAAACTGCTCAGTTTTGCTGCCTTTTGAGAATTCTGGGTCAATGATCCATGACAGAAAACATTTCCTGCCTCAGTTACTGACTACTCTTGACAAGGTAACTGCTGAAGTCATCTCCAGGACATAAAACAGATGTTTTCCAACTATGTCCCCCAAGGGTTCTCAGAGCAGCTCTACTTTAATCTGCCTCATAGAAACAAAGGTAAAAAATATAAACGGTCCCATTGCTGGAAACATGTGGACATCACTGATGGGATGGTTGGTTAACATATAATTATCCAACTTAGCATAACAATAAAATTATTCTATAGGTAAACATTAAAAATAATCAAACACTTCTTATAATATGCTTTTCATCCCAATGTTGTGTGTGTGTGTGTGTGTGTGTGTGTGTGTGTATAAAAGTAAATCAAAACAAATACTCTGTGGGTTTCTGGGACAGCAACTCTTTATAAAAACAGAAAGCCTTATCTTTCTCTCTTGGAGTGACTGGCGGTTTTGAACTGCTGACTTTGCCTTTAGCAGCCCAACACGTAACCCGCTATGTCACCAGGCATTCAAAACAGGTATTGCAAAAGCAGAGCTTGGAACTGAACATGCTGGAGAAATTTCTTGGAATCAGTTTTATTTTTTGCTGAAATTAAAGACAGACTGTCCATCTACTTCTATGGACTGAATGTGAATAACAATGCCATCTAAATCCAGGGGCATGAACTACCAACTTGGACCAGAGAGAAGTCCTTCCTTTTTCAGAGGACACGACTTGTGATATTTTTATAAGTGAGCATTTTAAAAACAAAGACAACCAAATATCTTCATGGAAACGGTACTGTTTAAACAAAAATCCCATCTTGTATCTTTGAGCTCACTGATTTGACTTCCTTTTCTTCCCTTCAATTTTTCCTGGTCTTTAATCATGCTCTCTAATTCCGTTATCTCACTGTTTATTTTCTAGGGTTCTTTTTGGTATGAGATCTTTGTTTTTCAATTTCTTCTGTCATTCGGAGTGTTTCCCAGGCATCTTGAAGGAGCTGAAAAATCATTGTTCTGAATTCTATTTCCGTGTACTCCCGTGGGTTTGGGTGGCTTTTGTTTGAGATCGCTTTCTTGAATTTTTAGGTGTACAGCTGTTTCTGTGGCATCACGGAGCAACTATTGGGGGAGAAAAGCTCTGCTGGGTGGAACTTTTCGTTGTAACGTTTTTCCCACTAGGCAAGCATCAAGCAACTCACTGAGTTAGTGCACCTGGTGGTGTTTCCTGGGAAGGTTCTCTCTGGTCACAGTGAATTTTTTTCCGTAAAAGCAGTTTCTCTTGGACCTTGTTTTTGTGATGGCTGTTTTAAGAGAACAGCATGTGGCTATGAAATTTTGTCTCTTGCTCGGGGAAAATGCTGCAGAAACTGTTGTGATGTTGAGCACAGTTTACCAGGACAGCGCGAGGGGAAAAACTCGTGTATGAATGGTTTTCTTGTTTCAAAAATGGTGAAATGTCGATTGATGACTAACCTCTTTCTGGATGTCTGTCAACTTCCCAAACTAACAAAAATGTCAACAAAGCTCGTGCACGTGGGCTCAAAGTCCGAGGACTGATGACGGACCACTGAAGAGATGGGGAACTTATTTGGGCTATCTTGGAGCTTGGTTCAGTGAATTTTAACGGAAGATTTGGGAATAAGAAGGGTTGCTGTGAAATTTTTGCCTCAGGTTCTGAACAATCAGGAAAAAGAGTTTCAACTGGAAACATGCTGTGCTTTGAAAGAACAGCTCCAAAGTGATCCCGAATTTTTTTCCAACATCATTACTGGAGAGGAGACATGGTGCTATTTTTACAACCCTCAAAGCAAACATCAATCAAGCCAGTGGAAGATGCCATCATCACCTCGCCCAAAAAGAGCTTGTGAAGTGAAATCAAAGATCGAGGAGGATAGTGCATTAGGAGTTTATTCTTCGAGGTCAGGCTGGAAGAATAAATGTTAAAGCATTCTGTTTAAAGGTTCTGAAAAGAATGCGTAACAGTGTGCTACAAAGAAGGCCTGATTTGTAGCAGATGGGGGACTGGTTTTGCCATCACAACAATCCACCTGCTCATGCAGCCATCTCAGTATGCCAGTTTTGGGCAAAAACAGCATGCCTCTCTTGCTCCACACACTGACTCACCTGACCTTGCACCACGTGACTTTTTTTTGTTTCTGCAAATGAAGAGGGACATGAAAGGACAGCAATTTGATGACGTAGAAGAGGGGAAGAAAAAAATGAGG